CTGTGGGTGGGAACAGAGTCACTAAACTTAACAACAATATTCCATCCTCACCACTGTCTGTCGAACTATGGAGTTGGCAAAGAACATTGAGGGTGCCCGGGGCTGTCGGAAGTATGAAGGGCAAGCAGAATGCTCCTTAGAAGCAAGGATGGTGAGACTTTGTCTCACATGTTTTGGACATCTAATCAGGAGGGGGCTAGCCGCTAGAGAAGGACATCGTGGTTGGTCAAGTCGAGAGTCATGGAAGAAAAGGAAGCCCCTCCCAGGAGATGGGCTTCCTAGTGGCTGCAACAGTGGAGTCAAAGATGGAAGAAATGATGGTGAGGCTGGTGCAGGTCCAGGCAGGGTTTCAGTCTGTCGTGCTATGAATGGGTCACTGGGAGTCGGAATCAACTCGTCGGCCCCTGGCAACTGTTTCCCATTGTGAGTGCGCCACATGGTGTTCAACCATCATCCACTGGTAGACACCAAGTCTTCGTCCACCAGTGCTTCCGTGAACACTCTTGCACACAGATCGGTGCAAGTCCTTACTTTCAAGTCTTGGGGAAGCAGAATTGTGAGGCCCTGTGGTGTTTCTAAGGCTCTCTGGTGGCACATTGGTTAAAGTGCTCAACTGGCAACCAAAAAAACCACTGGGTTCGAATCCCCCAGCTGCTTCATGAAGAACGATGTGCCCTTCTGCTCTCACCAAGACTTACAGTCTTGGAACTCTATTGCGCGATTTTAAGAATAGAGTTATTATGAAGGAGGCCTAGTGGGTTAGGCATTGGGCTGCCAGCCCCAAGGTCAGCAGTTCAAACCCACCAGCCACTTCGAGGGAGAAAAATGAGGCTTTCTCCTGTAAAGACTGACAGCCTGGGAAGCCCGCAGGGGCCGTTCCACCCTGTCCCACAGACTCACTGTCAGTCAGAATTGACTCAGTCAATAGCAATGGGTTTGTGGTTTGAAGGGTTCCTGTAAGCAGCTTTGAGCAGTCCTGGTTAGGCAGACTGGGTTAGGTGTTGGGCTACAGACAGCAGGGTCAGCAGTTCAAAACCCTCAGCTGCTCTGAGAGAGAAAGGTGAAGCTTTCTGTTCCAGTAAGACTTACAGACTCAAAAGCCTGCGGGGGCATTTCCACTCTATCCTATAGAGAGGGCATCCACTCAATGGCAGTGAGTTATAAGGAGCTCTGGGTGGTGGTGCAGGTTAAGTATGGAGCCAGTAACCCCAAGGTCAGCGGTTCAAACCTCTAAGGGAGACAGGGGAGGTGGTCTGGGAAACCCTCCATAGGTATCTATGAGTCGGCAGAGGGTCAGTCTAGCTGGTCTGGCGGTTTGTCTTGTGTCCTTTCTGAGGAGTAGCCACGCTGTTTCCTGATTCCCAAGGCTTTTCAACCAAATCGGAAGGTGTCACCCCTTACACGTGTCTCAGGATTGTCGCATTTCTAGACTGCTGCTCCGGCTTGCAGGTTGCCTCCTCTGTGCCCCGCAAGCTTGTTACTGGCTCTGGGGGGGGTGGGATGGGGAGGGTCTGTCTGAGGGCAGCCACCCTGATAAGAACACAGGACCCACGGTTTTCAAATTTGCTGCAATGTCTCCCTAGTCTGGTGTTTTTATGTTTGGGCCTTTTTACAGACGGTCAAATTTTTGTACCTTTCTCTGAAAACTTTACTGGTGTTCTCAGGAGCCCTGGTGATGCACTAGGTTAGGCATTGGGTGCTGGTTACAAAAGTGTTGGGGCAGCGCTGCTCTGTCCTGTAGGGCGGGCGGCCATGAGTCAGACTCAGCTTCATGGCGGTGAGGCTGTTTATTTGGGCGCTCCTACTGTTAAGGAGTCAGGGAACCCTGCTGTGCTTCCCTCCTCCCCTCCAGGGGTCTCAGTCCCTCGAGGACTCCCTCGACGGTGTTCTGGGAAGACGGGCTGTCCCAGGAGCACCCAGCCCGGTGAGCCCCTTGAGGACTCTTGGCTGAAACCCTTTAAAATGGCCCCAAAGCAGTTCAAAGCCATCCAGGCAGGGAGGGGAACCTTGCCAGAGTCCTGGGGAACCCTCATGTGGTTGTGGGTGGGGCTAGGGCTGGGATTTT